TGCCGCCCCCTTGAACCTCGTCGACGCCACCTCGCCGCAAACCGCCAACGCACCAGCCGCCGGAGCTCCAGCCGACGAACCTGAGCCCCTCCCTGACCTGGCCTCCGACCCGCCTCAACCTGCTGCCCCGTCGACGACCAGCAATCGTCGTCAGCCTCGCCGTGCCGCTGCCCTTCACCGCTCAGTTCCGACGTGGATCTGTTCCAGCTGGCCTCGCTCGCCGTGTCCGACGAACCCACCTCGTCTCTGCCCCTCCTCGTGCTTAGTCCCGTCGCCTCTCAGATCTGAAACGCCAACCGCTGCATAGTCGAGATCCCCGTCAGTGTCGATTCGTTCGACAATAACCGAGGCAAGATCCCGCTTGCTCAGGTCTACTTTTTCTATTTATTATGAATTATCTGCAAATTTAGATCCGTTAATATTTATCTGCGTGGGTTTGATGAATAATATTGAATGGATAGTAATTATGTGATAAATAGTATTTTTAGGACAAATATAATAAATTAAAGAATTTATTTTGGGTAACAAGATTATTTTAGATTAATTATAATATTTTTAGAATTTATGTTGTGGAAGAAAATTATTTTAGAATGATAAATATTTTTAAAGAAGTTTTTTTTGGAAAAAGATTATTTTAGAATAATTATTATGAATTAAAAGAAGTTATTTCGGTAACGGAATCATTTCTGGATAATTATATTAATTAAAAAGAATTTATTTGAGAACGGAATCATTTGAGGAAAATTATGATAATTTTAAAAGAGATTATTTTGGAAAAAGAAATATTTCTGAATTATGTAGACTCTGTTTATGATCTATAATTCTTAATATTGATTATCTGATATGCTATGATATTATTACACGTAATTAGTTGCATTGATTGTTCCTGGCTGTGTTTGAGAACCTTAGTAGTTCATGACTTAGTGGCATTGTGCGTCATGAACAGACCTAGTGACATGTGTGGGTGTATTTAGGTAGTGAACCATAGTTTTAATAAGGATTATGATCGTTGATTTAGAAAGAACGAGAAGAGTTGGGATGGGGAAGTTAATGTTCATGTGATCGGATAAGGCTGTTGATGTATCTTCCAGACTCGTACCAGAGACCTGTTTCGTCCTGGGGTTGGTTTGTTGGACAAAGTGGCCTGTTTCGTCACTTTGATCCGTGACTTGTTTCGTCACCTAAGCTTTGCCTGAGTTCAGA